AAACCTATCTGTAAACCCACCAGGTAGAAATAAGCATTGTTTTGGTACATATCCCTCCATAATTTTGTCTCTAATGTACATAATTTAAAAATTAGGCCTTTCGTATTTATAACCTTTAACCTGCTTTTTAATTTTCACAATATATTGTGAACATTTTCTCAAATCAATGTTATCTTTTAGTTTTCAAAGTTTATTTCCAATTTTTCATAATTATAAATAACTATCTTTTCACACACTCAGGTAACTGCTCTAGGATAAATTTCTGGATAAAAGTGCAGGTACTTTTTAAAAAATGTGATAGTGATTACCAAGTGTCCTTCAGAAAGTTGATTTCAATTTCTACTTCCAGGAGATACATACCCTCATGATCACTTTTATTACCACTCTATTCCATCTTTGCCAATTTGATAGGTAAAACCTGACATATCATTGTTGGTTCAAACAGCATTCCTCTAATGAGGAGAAGAGTCAACAGTTCCATACATTAATTGAATATCTGTTTGTGTTGATACTTCAGTAAATGTTCTGCTTCCTTAGTAATTTTCTACTGCGGTGATAATCTTTACTTATTGGTTTATATCCACTCTTTTTGTATGAATAATACCAATGTTCTGCCATCCTTATGTGCTATAATAGTCCACATATAGATTTTTATTTGTATTTTTTTTATTTTAATAACAATGGTTTATTCTGTGTAAATAATCTGAATAAATTATGTTACATTTTCTCATTTTCAATTCATGTACTCAAGACTTTTCAGAATAAAAAAAAAATCACTTATATTTTCTTCAGAAAAATATGCAATATGAGGTAAGTTTAATTTTTTCATGAATCCTTAAAAATGATTTCAATACTATTTATTAAAAAAATCCATTTTCCCAGTTTATTTGAAAAACAGTTTTCATAAATGAGTACATGACAGAATTCTTCTATACCCTCAGGCATAATTCTGTCCATTGATCCAGAAGCCTCTTTTGACATTATCACAGGATTTGAATTACTGAAGCTTCAGAATGTTCTTCTACTATCTCAAAGTACAATCCACTCTCCCTCATCAACATTGTTTTCAAATTTGCTTAGTTATGACAACCTCTCATTTAAAAAAGAACTAGGAAAATTAGGTCTGGTTACAAAACAAAAAAATTATCAGAAAATTATTGGGAATTACATTAAAACTATACATTAACTCGGAAAAAACCTGACAATTTGTAATATTAAATCTTTACATCCTAGTACATGATATGCCATTTTGTTTATTTTAGTCCCACAGAAAAGTGTTCAGTTTTCTAAAATCTATTACATTTTAATAAATTGGTTTTTATTCGAACACTCTAGTACTGCTTATTTTTTTTACTTGATTCTTTCAAAATTTTGAGAAAAAAAAACACGTTTCAATAACTAAAGAAAAATTTAAGGATTATCTCTGCCAAACGCAAGATGCGTGATGCTAGACAGGCTACTCAATAATCACAATAGATGTAATTGTAACGGTGCTCTATTTAAAAACAAAACTTGCCATCACAGATTAAATAACAAATAAAAATGAACTGTATGCTGTCTTAAAGAGACACACCTGAAACAAAAAGTCACAAAATGAATGAATATCTAAAGCAGGACAAAGATATACCAGGCAAAAATATTAATAAAAAGCAAAGGTAGCTTTATTAATATAAGACAAAATAGTTTTAACCTAAACCATGACTAGAGACAAAGAGATTCACTATACAATGATACAAGTTTAATCCATCAGGAAGATAAAATATTCTAAGCTTTTTTGTATATAATTATACAGCATAAAAATATATAAAATAAAATGAACGAAACTGTAAACAGCAATTAACAAATCTAACAGTGACAAATATTAGCACATCTTTCTAACTCTTTGATAGATCAAGCAGACAAAAACAACAATATTGAGAAGATATGAAAAACAATTAAGAATATTAACACATATATACTAAGTTACTTCAAAAAGTTCTTGAAAAAATAAAATCAAAATATAATACAAATCTTTCCATGAGCTTTTTGAATGTCTCATAGTGAACTTTGTACTCAACCATTGCGCAAAACATGTTCTTAAAACAAAGTTTTTTTAATGAATATGTGTGTCTTCCAAGGTCATACCAGCTTATTTAAAAGACTGACATCATGCAGACTATAGTCCCTCTCCCAAAGATGACTGAAAAAATTAATAAGAAAAGGATTGGGAAAACATATGTTTGCAAATAAGAAAAATACATGTTACTGAAAAAATATGTGTGTTGAGAAGAAATAATAAAAGAAGAAAATAATTAGAATTGAACAGTAACAAAAATACTAGGTCAAACTAGTGGGATTCAGGTAAATTAGTTCTTAGGGGAAAATATAGCCTTAAATGTCTGTACTGGGAAAGGGAAGATGTTTGAAATTAATGAGTTAAACTTCCAACTTAAGAAGTAAAAGACCAAAAAACAAAAAACCTAAGCAGAATAAACCCAAACATTAAAAGAAAGAAAATCATAAAGACAAAAAATTTAAAAATGAGTTAATATCGTTAATTTGCCACTTATAACAATCCAATTTATTCACAAATTATCATAAATATTAATAAAAAGAAAAATAATAGATTTGCTGCTTTCTTCCTATTTGCAATATTTTGGAAAATACTCATATAGTTTTATTGGTAATCATATATACAAGAAAAGTGAAGTAACTTCAAAGGTATGAATAATGTTATGAATAATTACAATTATATAGGAGAAATTTTTTCCAGATATTATCTTGCTGATATGAACTGATTTGATTAATCTTGTTCCAAAATGTTTCATATTCTATATGAAATATATTCTATATTAAAAAATCATGTATAATTTTAAACTTGCTCTCAAAATATCTCATCTCTTAAATTTTGCTCTTCAGTACAATGATAAGAATGGTCTTCATTCTATATTTTCAGGGGTTTATGCAAAGAACCTAAATAGAAATTAATCAACACCTATAATCACATTACAACAGAGACTTATAATTCTTAAATTAAAAATAACTATATAAAAAATTATGCATGCATTCATGTATTTCAAATCAATTTTAACTATTTTATTATTATTATTATTATTAATAATAATAATAATAATAATGTTACACAAGCTTTTCATTCAAAGACTTCTTATTGGAAGTACTGGAACTCCCTGGACAGCTCCAAACCCATGCTATTGCTTAACAAAATTCAATTATCATCAGGAGTATCAAACTTTTTAAAACGGCAATTGTATTACCACCAAAGCCATTCTAAATGAGTTAAAGAGGCAAAGGTAAAAAACAAAGTCATACAATAACTAGTAGAAAATAAAGATTAACATCAATACAGGTTTGGTCTGGAAAGACCAGAAGTTAGCATTCAAGACAGAACCCAGAAATTAATAGGTTCATTGATTTCATCTCTTAACTATTTAAAATTCTATAACTAATCAAACAAACTAAATACAATGAAGGGAATTTTTTCTTCCTTTTCAATCCTTACGTATTTAATTCCATATTCTTGCTTTAATGTGCTGGCTATGACTTCCCACAAAACGCTGAGAAAGAAATGTTAGCGGACATTGTTGGTTCTTTATCTATCTCTAAAGAAATACTTTCAAAATATCCCTAATAAGAATAGTATTTGCAATAACTTTTTTAGATTATCTTTCCAGGATTAAGAAAGTATCTTCTTTTTCTCGTTTTGTCATGGTTTGTTGTTGTTAAGTGATTAACAGATTTTTTTAAATTTAATTAAGGTATTCACCTAATAGTTGTACACACACACACACACACACACACACACACACACAGAGGCATATATATCTGCATTTGGTTTAGTAATTTTAGGGGAATTTTACATCCATACTCATGGATGAGTCTCAGGTGAGTCTTATCCTGCCCTTGTCAGAGTTGGTATAAAGATTTTCTACCCATATAAATCGAGGGTATGTCTTCTGTATTTATCCTCTGGAAGAATTTTGATAAGATTATATGTATTTCTCACTTGAATGTTGGGTGGATCTCACTGAAGAAGCCATTTGAACCTGTATTTTATTTGTTTAAAAAAACCTAATAATTCAATTAATAGTAATTCAATTTCTTTAATGATTATGAGAATATTAAAGTTTTAAAATTCTTTTTGAGTAATAACTTAGTAACATTTTGTAGGAATTTGTCCATTTCATCTATAGTTTTTAAGTTATTGGCCTAAAGTTCAAATTATTCTTTTATTCTCATTTTAGTGTCTAAAGCAACTATTGTTATAAAATTTTTTTCCAAATATTTGATAATCATGATTTCTTTATTATTCTTTACCTTTCTTGATCTCTTTTCATTTATTTCCCTGTGTTTTAAGTCAATTCAAGGTATCAACGTTATTCATGCTTTTACTATATGCTGTTTTCATGTTATTACAAGTTTATCTTCTATTATTTCCCTCTTTAAATACCTTTCCTTTTATTTTTCTGCCCTTTTTCTAGCTCTTTATATGAATATGAATGTTTAGCTCATTAGTTTTGGGCCTTTCTTATTTCCTAATGTAAGAAAGTAAGTCTGCAAATTTCCTTCTAAATACTGCTATAGTTCCATTTTAAAGGCTTGGCATTCAGCATTTTTATTATATTATAGTTAAAAAAATAGTCTAATTTTCATATAATTTCTCTTTCGCTGATTGGACATTTAGATGTGCAATTTTTAATTTTAAAATGTGTGAGGATTTTCCTAGTTATCTTTCTTATACTGAATTTTAACTTAACTTCATTGTGTCCGAAAATATAATGAATATTATTTTAACCCTTATATGGCATTTTTTAAAAATTTAAATTATATCTTTCAAATAATTCTCAGAATTTGAGCAATTTTTATTATTAATGTTCTAAGCAATTTAGTCTCTTATTTGAAGAATCAAGTAAGAATAAAATGTAAAGCAAGTTATATTTGAAAGATGATGAAACATTGTACTTATATGAGACTAAAACAGAATTTTTGATCATATAAACTACCTTCTCCCCTGGGGTCACAGAAATTCTCCAGATGCAGTGTGTATAGGAAGGGTAGCCATTTGGAAATCCTGGGGAGGAAAGGTTGCCGTAGGATTCTTGTAGGGTTTCTCCACATGCTGAAAGGAAAAAAGATATAAGATCATTTTTTAATTTCTATGAAGGACATGGATATTATAAAAAAAAAGTCTTAAGTTTTTTGGTGTTAGACAAGAGCATATATTTGTATTTTATAAAAGAGTTTTTCTTTTCTAATTAAATTTATTTTTCTATCTCTCTTAACCAGAATATTTAATAGCATCACTAGTGCTAGTCATAAAACAAGATTATGAGATAAATAAGCCAGCATTCATAAAGTTCTTCCTCATGGAATCTAGTCTCATTTATCCCCAAGGGGCCAGTGGCCAATTTAAAGGACACCCCTATTCATATTCAGGCCATTAATACCTTGTTGATGTGGCTCTGGACCAAATGAAACATTACATTAATTATAAATGAGGCTAAGTTTAACAAGGAAAACCACATCAAGGATTTAAAAAAATCATAAGTAATAACTAGGAAGCAGTCACTAAAGGTGGTATCAAAATATCAAACACGATGAATAGTTTTTTCAGAATAAAAACAAATTAAAAAATAAAAACACCATGGAAGAAACAAATTTTCCAAAAAGATGTAGACATTTATTTACTATCTCTTTTCTGTTGATCATAAGTACAAACTGCTGGAAAGGCAATTAGTATATCTTCCTCTTACTAAGCTTGTTTAATTCCTTGGAACTAACTGTTGGTTATCTAAAACAGCAAATTATCAGCTGCACAGCATCAGGATCGGTGTTCAGTCGAGGCTGCTGGTCAGCACCATTTCATAATGGGTTTTCCTGTTGCTTTTGAGAGACACGGTATGAGCCACACGAATCTAAGACTGTTTTAAGTATCCTTAATTCAAGAATAATTCCTCCACTGCAGCCAGTCATCTTTAAAACCTTCACCCAACAATTTGAAAGAACAGTCAGTCCTGCAATTAAAACTCAGATATCATCATATTACAGAGCTACAGCCACCAGCAGGTGAACTCTCGTCTCATCAAACACCCAATAAATTATAAGTGGTTCTGCAGATCTTATGTTAAATGAAGAAAGATAATGACTTTGAAAACATAAAATGAGCTGTGAAAACAGTATGATATAATATAAATATTTATCGAGAAAAAAAGATATGTTTGCACTACAAAATAAATTTGAAGTATGAGTAAGCGATGTTTATTCTGACGAACAAGCAGATAAAAGCAACTTTAGAACAAAATGAAAATGTTCAAGGACAAAAATACATAATTTGGCACTGTTCTATGAATCATCTAGGGCACTTGATAAGTGCAACATTATAATAAGCCTTAGAAAAATAAAAATTTGTTAAGATTTTATTAATGTGTTTCTAAGTAGGATCAGTCTCAATGCTAAATAATAATTTGGAGGTTGAGTGTGTTTCAGTGAAAAAAACTGTAATTCACATAAGCTTAAAAATAAATTCTGTAGGGCCGGCCCGGTGGCGGACTGGATAGTGCGCCGCTTGGGAAGCGCGGCAGCGCTCCCGCCCGAGGGTTCGGATCCCACATACAGACCGGTTCCCGCTCACTGGCTGAGCGAGGCGCGGGAGCAACACCGAGGGTTGCGATCCTGTTGCCGGTCCCGGTCCGGTATGGGGGCAACACTGAGGGTTGCGATCCGTTGCCGGACACGGGAAAAAAAGACAAAAAAAAAAAAAATAAATAAATAAATAAATAAATTCTGTAATGATTTAATGTCTTACTAAACCACAGAAAATGCTAGTTCTGGATATCCTAAAGTGAAATTAAAACAATTAAATAGATTTAATACACAAATATATACAAACATTATTGTTTTTATTAAAAAGATAAGTATTCTTCAAACAAAATATAAAACAAAATACAACACATAATTCAAAAATTAGTGTATAATATAGTGCTTTCTTAAATGCAAGAAGTACAAATACCTACATCTGAGTTGCAGTGTTCATTTGTGAATTTTCCTCAATAAATGTGGTTGTCCCAGGCTACACGACCCCAAGTACATAAGATGTTTCAGCATTACTCCTGGCCATTTGTTGATTTATGCTCATGTATAAAAAACAAACTGTTATTGAAAGAACTAAAAGAAACTAATGAAGAAAATGTGTTACTACTAAGTTCAAAAGCTTATTCTGACCATTGACAGCAAGTTATGTGGATGAGAAGATACAGGTTTAAGTGCTGGCATTGTCATCTATTAATTATGTCATCACAAACAAATCTCAAAAGCTTTGGCCCTAGTTTTCTCTTCATTAAAATAGCTATCATGTTACAATATACTTCATAAGGTTGTTTTATAAAGGTCAAACCTTATGCCTTAAGTCTTTGCTTTAACCCTTAAGTAACTCTCCGACAGGTAGGAAGAATCTGTGGTTGTGAAAGCAAGAACGTATCTCTTAACTACAACTACATCCTCAGTGATAATTGGGAAAATAAAAGCATGAAGAATTATTATATCAGGAAAGCAAGCCCATTTACAATAGTTATCAAACAAATAAAATACCTAGGAATCAATTTAACCAAGGAAGTGAAAGATCTCTACAATGAGAACTACAAATCACTGCTGAAAGAAATTAAAGAGGATACAAAAAGATGGAAAAACATTCCATGCTCTTGGATTGGAAGAATTAACATTGTTAAAATGTCCATACTACCCAAAGCCATTTACAGATTCAATGAAATCCCCATCAAAATAAAATGGCATTCTTCAAAGAAATGGAAAAAACAAGTCTAACATTTAAATAGAACAACAAAAGACCCTGAATAGCCAAAGCAATCCTGAGCAAATAAATAAATAAATAAAGCCAGACACATAACACTACTTGACTTCAAATTATACTACAAAGCTATAGTATCCAAAACAGCATGGTACTGGCATTACAAAAGACACTTAGACTGATGGAAGAGAATAGAGAACCCAGCAAATAACCCACATACTTACAGCCAACTGATCTTTAACAAAGGCCACAAGAACATACATGGGGAAAAGAATGCCTCTCCAATAAATAGTGCTGGGAAAACTGGACATCCAAGGTAGAAGAATGAATCTAGACCTGTACCTTTCGCCATATACCAAAATCAACTCAAAAAGGATCAAAGACTTAAGTATAAGAATTGAAACTATAAAACTCCTAAAACATAGGGGAGACACTTCAGGAAGTAGGATTGGGCAAAAGCTTTATGAGTAAGACCCCCAAAGCACAGGCAACAAAAGAAAAAATAAACAAATGGGATTATATCACACTAAAAAGATTCTGTACAGCAAAAGAAACATTTAACAGGGTCAAAGACAATCTACAGAATGGGAGAAAATATTTGCAAACTGTGCATTTGACAAGGGATTAATATCCAGAATATACGAAGAACTCAAACAACTTAACAGTAGAAAATCAGGTAACCCAATTAAAAAACGGGCAAAGGAGCTGAACATGCATTTCTCAAAGGAAGATACATGAAGTGCAAATAGACATGCAAACACATGCTCAACATCACTAATCATCAGGGAAATGCAAATCAAAACCACACTGGGATATCATCTCACCCTGATTAGACTGGTCATTATCAAAAAGATAGAGAATAAGAAAGGGTGATGAGGATGCAGAGAAAAGGGAACCCTCCTATACTCTTGGTTAGACTGAAAGTTAGTGCAGCCATTATGGAAAACTGTATGCAGGTTCCTCAAACAACCACAGATATACCTGCCATATGATCCAGCAATCCCACTGCTGGGGATATATCCAAGGGATGGAAATCATCATGTCTAAGGGATACCTCCACTTCCATGTTCATTGCAGCTCTATTTACAATAGCCAAGAGCTGGAACTGACCTAAATGTCCATCAACAGATGACTGGTTAAGGAAAATGTGGTATATATAAATATTGGAATACTACTCAGTCATAAAAAAGAATGAAATTCTGCCACTTGCAGCAACATGGATGAATTTAGAGGAAAGTATTTTAAGTAAAATAAGCCAGGCACAGAATAGAAATACTTGATGTCATCACTCATAAGTGGGAGCTAAAAAAAAAATAAACAAATAAGCAAAAAAAGAAAGAAAGAAAGATACAACAATCACAATAATCCGCTGAACTTTCAAAAGGAGAGAACAGAACTGAGGGCAACAGAGGTGGGAAAGGAGGAGAGGGAGGGAGGGTTAGCCTGAAATTGGCAAAGGGCTACCAAAAGTGTAGTGTGTGATGCTGGATGTACTAATTATCCTGATTTGAGCATCACATATTGCACACAGGTATTAATATTCAATGCCGTATGCAATAGACATGTATAATCAATTATGTTTTAATTTTTATAAAATACAAAGTTTAAACAGAACAAAAGGAATTATTATAAAGAGGAAAATTATGATGATTACTGTTCCAATCAAAATTACTTTAAAACAAAACACAATTTAGAAGTTAAACTTTTAGGGCCGGCCCGGTGGCACACTGGAGAGTACAACGCTTGGGAGCGTGGCGGCGCTCCTGCCGAGAGTTCGGATCCCATGTGGAGACCGGTTCCCGCTCACTGGCTGAGCGCGGAGCGGGCGCAACACCGAGGGTTGCGATCCTGTTGCCGGTCTCCAGTACGGGCGCGACACTGAGGGTTGCGATCCCGTTGCCGGTCCCCGGTACGGGCGCGACACCAAGGGTTGCGATCCCATTACCGGTCAGTAAAAAAGACAAAAAGGAAAAAAAAAAAAGAAGTTAAACTTTTAAAAATCTTTACCATATGATCCATCTCATTTTTGAAAGATAATATATATCTTTATGCTTCTAGAATAGAAAATTGTGCTTGAATTGTATAAGCCTCATTTAGATTGTGCGTTGTTGAGGAATTATTACAGGTTCTCATCCTTTTAATAACGTGGCTAAACTTACATAAGAGGGACTGCACATCCCTCTACAAATATTTTTCCTGTCAAGTGTCCACAGCATCACCAAATATCAAAGGTTGAGAAGTTCCTTTCCTCCATATTCTGTAGAAATGCATCTATAATTTTACTAAGGCTAATAAAACATAATTCAATATATAATAAT